AAAAAATTCTGGAGGGCTTTCACAAAAAAGAACATATAACAAAGTTCTATTAACAGAGGGACTCTATTATGTCCCTCTCTACGCTGAAGCCCCAAGCACCCTTAGACAACCCAGGTGAACAAGGACACACAGCTCAACTTTGACTGATGCTTGCTGGGTGTCAAATATTCTAAAGCCTCTCTCCTTGTGGACAGCAGAAGCTAAAGGGCACCAGATGTGTGTGTGGCCAGGAGGAGGGGCCACAAGACTCCCAGGTGGTGAGGCCCCGCCTCCCCACACAGGGCGTGAAGCCACCCTGAGCCTTGTGGTTGACCTGCAGGTCTGCCTGGGTCAGGGACACAAAGCGGCCTGGAGGCCATGGAACAGGGACCGCCCTTGGACGCAGGGCTAACATCTTTGAACATGACAGCAGGAAATGCAAATTGTAGGCCCTCCAGTGCCAGCACCCTGCCTGGCCCAAGTGGCCCAGAGAGCCGGGCCGCCCCCCTTCCTTCCCCCTCAAGCTTTGCTTCTATTACAAAGGGGGGCTCTTGGCCAGCACAACCTGGGCTGCCCTGCCGAGCCTAACAAGGCCTCCTGCCCCAAGGAGAGGGAAGTGCTGCTCCACACTCTAGGGTGAAAACCGCCTCTTGGGGGGCTTGTGACCATGCCAGGCGCCTGCGATAACAGAAGCGGCAGAGAATCATGGTAGAAATAAAGATGCCAGAGACGCAGTCAGCTTGGGCTCAGGCCTTACCCAGCCCTGGGTGGAGCTCGGCACAGCCCCTCGTCTCACTGGCTGGCACCGTTAAATAACCGGCCAGGTGCCCAGGTAGAGCCCAGGCCCAGGCTCGGCTGCTGTAGCCTTTCCTATGTAACTTGCCAGCGGGCCATGGGGTGCACCCAGCAGTCACCCGGGAACCAGAGTGCTCCCGAGTTTTCACTGCTATGACAGTGCCAGTCTCCTTGCCATGGACAGTGCCATGGACAGCCACGTGGTCTGGGTTTTGGATGTGGATTTGCTTTTGATTGGGGCAGTATTTTTTGGGCAGTATTTTTTTTTTTTTTAATTAAGGATTGAGCCCAGGGCCTTCACACAGAGCCGCATCTCTGGCTCTTTTATTTTGAAGTAGAGTCTTTGCAAGCCTCTACAACAACAAAACACACAGCTATATATTTTGAGAATGTTTAGTTTGCAGAAAAACTGAGTTATACACTTTTTAAAAATACGTTGCTGGACACTTCAAAGGCAAGAGTGGACAGGTGGGGCCATCGGCCACCCTCACCCATCACCCAGGTCAGAGGTCCTCACTACGTTACCCAGGCTCAGTCGTGTGATGCTCCCGCCTCAGCCTCCCCGAGTGCTGCGATCACCGGCAGGGGCTACCATGCCAGGCTGAAGGGCACCACTTCAGCAAAGCACATTCACGTTTTCTTTGTCTTCATTTTAACCGCGTATAGCCAGTGTTCTAGAAAAGTTCTCATCTGCAGACAGAGTGCTGCGATGGCCATCGCCATGCGCACCCATCACCCTGAAGGTCACAGAGATGTCCTGGAGCTGCTCTGGTCTTCTCTCAGGCCCCATGACCTGGTTTCTAAAGGCTCCCCTGCCAGGGCCAGTTTTGGGGAGCTGATTCTCTCTGGAATAAAGTCCATCGCCACTAGGTGGCGCCAAATCTACATCTCAGGTCAGACTGCAGCCCGGAGATTCAATGCAAAGGAGCGCAGAGTGGAAAAAAGAAAGAGGCGCAATTCTCACTTCACGCAACTGCCAACCCAGCAGTGCCTGGCAGAGTTCCTCGACCCCTGCATTTCAGCGACCGGTGCTGGTCTCCCGTGTCACGCAAGACCCACGTGGGAAGGCCCGCTGGCCCCAGGACTGCCCAGGTCTTCCTTCCCGCCATGCCTGGCCCACGCTATACGGTACTGGTACTGTCGGGAGCTGTCACTTTCTCTACACCCAGTGACCTCTGATCGCACTGGGCTCTGCGCGGCGGCGAGACACTGCCACCCTGTGGGTGGGACAGGAGTGTGTTGTGGCTTTCGGGTGAGTCCACACCTGGGCCGGAGACTGAGGAGACTGCTTGTGAAAGGCTTCCAGTCTGGGGTTGTACAGAAGCCTCCAGCAAAGGAAGGCCGAGGGAGGCAGGGAAAGCCAGAGAGGAAGGGGGGCCTGACAGGAAGGGGGGCCTGACAGGAAGGGGGACCTGAGAGGAAGGGGGGAAATCAACCTGCAAACCACCAGGACCTCTGACCTGGGTGACGATGGGTGAGGGTGGCCGACGGTCCCACCTGTCCGCTCTTGCCTTTGAAGTGTCCAGCAACGTTTTTTTTTTTAAGTGTGTATCTCAGTTTTCCTGCAAACTAAATGCTTTCAAAATATACAGTTGGGTGTTTTGTTGTTGTTCTATTGTTTCATTTCATTTTGTTTTGCTTTTGAAATAGGATCTTGCTCGGTTGCCCAGCCCAGGCTCAGAGGTAATTCTCCTGCTTCAGCCTCCCAGGCTGCTGCGATTGCAGGCATGTACAACCAAGACCAGATTATAGCCTATCAAAACAAAAATGTAATAAATGACAAAAATCGTGGTGACTCCAATGATCCAAAGGGAATTTCAAATACAAATGTGCACACAGTCACGCACCGCAGTCTTCTCTGATCTCACAATTCCGAGAGACGGGGGCTCCTTCCACACATCACAGGGAGGCCAGCAGCTCAGAAAGGCTCAGCTGCCTGCCCAGGGCCACACAGCTCTGCAGTGAGAGGCAGCATCCCCGCCCCCGCCTGCCAAGAGCTAGGGCAGCCTCAGTGACAACAGCCCATATCCTCAGGAGATGTCACACTGGTAGAAACAAACCCCTCAGCCCCACCTCAAGGGCTTGTTTCCAGGGAGACTGTCCCCAAGTCGCTTGTGGACCACTGTGGCATCTCATCACCCGGAGGACCAAGCAGTCTCGGTGGCAGTCGTATCCTCCAGGGGCAGGGAAGGCTTCCGGGTATGAGGCCGACCACAGCTGGCAGGGACGGCGCCAAGCCCTGACCCGAATCTCCCTGCTGCTCCTCTCCCTCAGCCTTGCAGGGCACCAGAAGGCTGTGCTTTGAGACTGTGAAGTGACTGTCAACAACCGCCGGTCCCCAAACCCCTTCTGAGAGACTCCTACGGTGCCAGGTGCCAGTGTCAGGAGGCGGCCCAGCCTGAACAGGGGGCTCCATCCTGAACAGAGGCAGGACCCACGAAAGCCTGGGACAGAGCTGCCCAGGAAAGTGATTGCCTGAACGGCCAAGGGCAGAAACAAAGCCCTTTAAACAACTCAGGAGGTAAAATGCACCTTCAGCTGCCTGCCTGCCTGCATTCGCTAATCAAGTCCTGCAGCACTGGCTGCAAAGTACCATCATTTTGTCCACAAGCTGAGAATGTGTGAAGCGCCTCGGGAAGCGCTACAGATGCCCCGATGCATGCTCGGCCAACTCAGGCATTTCCCAGGCTCCTCTGCCCATTCCCACCCCTGTGCATGGGTGAAACCTATGACCTCCTCAAGTCCTGAGACACAGGATCAGGAAGGAGACCCTGAGTCCTGGAACCCTGATGATCCACAGCACTCTGCAACTGGTGCTGCTGCCCCCAGACCAGGACCGGACTCAGGACCACCCAGAGGAGATCACAAGACACAGTGTCCTGCCATCAGCTGCCCAAAGGGACTTCACCCCAGGAGGAATGTGGAGGAATCCTTTTTGAATTTGTCAAGAATCTGAACTGGAAAACACAAAAAATATTAGACAAGTTGAGTAAAGCCAATGAGAAGACTCAGTTATCAAAAATTATCAGCATCATTTCTGTTGGCTATAGCTATTCAAATATAACAAATTTCTGATGTGAAGGGTAGACATCGTCTTTACCTTTTCAACCCTTTCCCGGGATGCAGCCACTCTTGACACCCTGGGTGCCCGCTACCAGCTGCTTTGTGGCTATTTACTTAGCCACACTTACCCATGTCATCTTCTCCTGTGCATCTCACCACTGTCCGCTCTCGTTCGCAGCCCTGCACGTCACTCTGCAGTCTGAACCAGCCCTGCATCACCTTTCCTTACATGGATGTCATTCAAGTTTCTGCTGTGATGTCCTGCAGTATTAAAAAAAAAAAAAAAAAAAGCCTGACTGTGACATTCACTCTGTCCTGGCCCACCACACTAATGCTTCTATGGAACACCCGCCTATGGCAAGGGCTCCCAACTCGGGGTTGGCACATGCACTTCCAAGTTCTACCAAGCTGTTCTCAAAACAGCAGCCTGGTAGGACAAGTGGTAGCCATAATCCTGGCTATGCAGGAGGCTGAGGCAGGAGGATCACAAGTGTGATGTCAGCTGGGCAGCTTCTTGAGGCCCTGTCTCAAAATACAATCAAGAACGTGTAAAGGCTGGGGATGCAGCTCGACGGTGCAGGGCTTGCTTCTGTGTGTGCGGTCTTGTGTTCAGTGCCAATGAGATGCACACATGGATGGGTGGGCAGATGGAGGGAAGGAAAGGGAGGAGCAAGGGTGTCTTAGGCACTTTCTCGTCGCTGACACACAAGGCCCAGGCCCAGCCCTTAAGGGAGGAGAGGTTCGTTTTGGCTCACAGTTTGTCCAGCTTGCAGTCCATTGTCAGCTGAAGCAGAGCAGCCTGGCAGCAGAGAAACTGCCCAAGGTGCAGCAGCAGGAAGCTGATCTAGGGAGAAGGAGGGAGAGGGGCCTGGGCCCCTCCCCAGGGATCCACCTTCAGCCATCTGGCTTCACCTCCCAGCCCCACACCCAGCAGTGGACCCAACCGGTGTCACACACCCTGATCTGTCACCTCCACAAAGCCCCGCCCTTGAGCACAGGAGGCTTCAGGGCCATCTTGGGAGGAAAGGGAAGAAGTGGAGAGGAAAGAAGGAAAAGGAGGGAGGAGGGGGGAGCCCCGGCTGTGCTATGGGCGCCGCACCTGAGCGCGCCGTTCCTACCCCTCACTGCCACAGCCCACACCCTCAGGAGGTCAGAGACAGCACTGCCACTCTGCAAGTTCTACAGGAAGTGCGCAACACTCTGCGCTTCCCAGCTTGCTGGCGCAGCAACCGTGAGAGCCCAAGAGCACCACTCTCCCAGAATCTGCACACTCCAGCTCATCTGCCGAACATTGTGTGCACATGAACAAACACACACACACACACACACACACGCACGCACGCACGCACGCACCTTGTCTGTTTGCAGTTCATCTCAATCACACTGAGATAGTGAATTATCTGAATTATGTGGGCAAAAATGGAAATGCAGCCATCAGCACGTGATAGACGGTGATGACCTCCTGGGGTACAGCTTCTGCGGGAGGGACCCACAGGTGGGGCCTGCCAGACAGATAGAGTGTGTGTTTTGAGGGGGTGCCACTGGGAGGGAGGTTCAACAGGTAAGAGGCGCCTCTCTCTCTGCACGCCTTGGGGTCCAAACGTAGCTTTACCCTGGAGCCTGGCCTTGTCCTCAGGGGTGCTCGTGAGTCAGTAATGGTTGGTAACTATAGCTGAGGCTGGCCACTCCCGTAACGCCGGCTGACTCCTCCCCAGCGATGGCGCTCTTGTCCTCGCATCACCAAGAGAAAGTCTTTCCTTTCATTTTATGAACTGCGCATTTGAAATGACTCCTTCCTGAAAAGCTCCAAGGGTGTGGCACCCTGCACCCAGGTCCATCCCAGTTGTTGCTCAACACGGTCCCCTGACTTTGTCCTTTCTCCCTCTCCCTCTGCCCTACGCCGTGCACACCTCTCCACTTATCCTAACACCACCAGCGAGGAAGGAGCAGACCTCGTGGGGCCCCGAGGGCCAAGCGCCCCTGCCAGGCCTCCCGGGTCAGGGGCAGGCAAATGCTGGGTGGGCTGGAAAGCGGGCATCTGAGGACTCGAGTCCCCCATGGAGGAAGGCGAATGTCAGCGCATGCAGCGACCTGGGTCAGGGAGTGGGGCGGGGCATCGGTGCCTTCTCTGAGTGGACGCCAGCTGGTTGAGAAGCTGGGTGGGGACCAGGATGAGGCACAGGAGGAACAACATGGGGCTCATGCAGCCTTGACAGGAGGAAACTGGTTGGGCACAAGTGACCTGAGCGCTTTTGGAACTACACTCCCGAAGCCGGAGCCGGGCCTCAGGCATGCACACGCCTCCATCCTGTGCCCTCACCAGGTTGCGGGAGTGGCCCAGAGATCCCAGCCTGGGATGGACACCCAGCCACTGATTGGGAAAAGCCATTGCCGTCAAGGCTAAGCTGCCGCCCAATGCTGGGGTCAACTCCTCGGGTGCCCCACTGGTCCCAGAGACCCTGTACGTGGCCCCAGAACAAGAGGACAATGTCGGCTATGGCAGAAGTGTGAATGATCAGCATCACAGCAGAAAGGACAGCGCTGCCACCAAGAGGGGACCCTGAGCTCAGTGCTAGGGAGGTGGCCCGGTGGAGGTGCCACACCCTGGCTGTGCCCTCTGCGAGTGTCCTGGTGGGGCTGAGGGAACAGATGGAGTCAAGAACAAACAGCAGCAGGAACTGTGAGGCGGGGACATGAAGCTGGAAGTGGTTGACCATGTCTTGCCTGTAACAGGGACGATTTTATATGATTCCTCCTAATACTTGCGTAGCCGTGTTCTACATTTAAGCCATTTAATCCCTGTGATAACAGAGGCACAGATTTCAGGTGAGAAAACTGAGCTCACACGGGCGCACGGGGGAGTGGAGATTCACGCTCGAGTCCCTCGGTCCTTCA